TCCTTAATGCACATTAGAGGCAGAATAATACCAAAGTGTTACTACTCAAGTACCTAAGCAAGTGTAAAGAATTACAGCCTCTAATAGTTAAAAAAAGATAGCATTAGAAAACGAACTTTCAACATTTGACTGCTCTTGGTTTGTGAAGAATAGCTGCTCAACAGTGTGTTAATAAACATTGTGGCCTATCCTTTGGCTTTTGGTGGCATGTTTGAGAGCATCATGCAGGTTGTCTCCTTAACCAAAAGCAATTGTTATAGCTGTTAAGGGGCAGATGAAGTGGGGTTCAGTGGTGGGGATTCATTGCCCTCCCCCCACTTTTTTAAGTCAACTATATCACAGGAGAAGCAGCCAGGGCCTCTCTTCTTTAAGTCCTTGAAGCAAATAAGAATCCCTTCCCCTCCATGTGCAGCAGGATGTAAGGATCTGGAGCCTTCCCTATTGAGGGCTTAGCTGTGGGCCGTGGAAGTAGCAAGCAGGGAAGGGAATGTTTCTCTGAGCATGGAAGGGAAGGAAAGATTTGTACCTGCTTGAGGGACTTGTAAAAAATTTTGCTGCTGCTCCAGTAGTGCAGTCTGCCCACCTAATGTTGGGAGCAGGGAGGCTGGGAGCTAGGGTGCAGCCACCATTTCAGCATACACACCCTTTCAGCAAGTCATTGCTCTTACAATCCCTTTTCTGAAATCTTGGCTCCACCCTTGCACCAGTCATGCTGTATGAAGGCTCATTAATACTCCAGAATGACAGCACTGATTAGCTTGCTTCCAATACTAATTAGCCCATCTACAGCAGTGCATAGACTGCCTTCATGGTTTTGATATTTAGGGGAAAGTCTCCTGTGGAGCAGTGCTGAGTGTTTGAGAGTGCCAGCGACAGACAAGGAAGATTTGTGGTCTAGGTCTGGGCAATAGTGTGGTAGAAATAGTTGACTGAAGATGAATCAGGAAAATAGCATACTATGAGCTTTTATCTATTATATACTTCAGCAGAATAGGAGTGATTCTGTAGGACAGGGATGGGCAAAATACAGCCTGAGGGACGGATCTGGTCTGCCAGGTGATTTCATGTGGCCCACAGGCACCCACCAATTGTACCCCGCACTGTCCGTGCACACTGCACTGTACCTTGCACACTCTGTGGGCTTTGCTTCCACCCTCATGCGTGGGAAGGACCTGGCCCTGGCCCTGGTCTGGCCTTGGCCCTAGCCAGCACTCACAGCTTCCAGGAGGCATCACTGCTGCAGCTGCCAGGGGATCTACTTGGCTTCCCTGGCCTCCAGTGGCTCCTCGTGTCCCTGCTGCACCAGTTGCTCCAGGCAGCAGGTAGGGAAGTGGCGGCAGAAGGTGGGGGAAGCTGCAGCTGGGCGGGAGCATGGAGTGTGGGGCTGGGGCTGGCAGGATCATGGAGCCTGGGCCCCATACCCAGTGAGGTGGTAGGAATGTGGAGGTCGGGTGGGCAGGGTATAGATGTTGGTTTGTGGCACGTAAGGGAGGGTGGAGGGGTGTGGGGATCCCCTCCCTTGGTACACAGCCCCCCCCCCCACTGGCCACAGCAGCAATGGGACATCCTGCTTTCTCTTGCCTCCTGGTGGAGTTCCAGAAGCTGCATGAAGCTGCAGGGAGTGGGGCCAGGCCACTGGCTCCATTGTGTGGGGCTTCCCCACAGTGGCGCATAAGTCCTGGGGGCTCCACATAAGCCATGGGGAGCCTCATGCAATAGAGGTGGGTCAACTTGGCTCTGCTCCTTGCTGCCATGTGCAGCTCCTGGAATTGACTGGAGCCATGTGCCACCGGGCAGCTGCGCCTGCTCAGACCATGAGCACCCTGAGGGCCTGCTGCCTGCCATCAGTGGCAGGGGCTGTATGACATGGGGAGGGTGCCTGGGGGAGGGTCCCCACACCCTTCCTTACACCCCACAAACCCCACACACCTATACCATGACCACCTGAGTTCCGCGCTCTTGCCATCCCACTGGGCATGGGCCCTGAGCTCCATGCTCCCGCCAGCCTCACACTCTGAGCTGCTCCCACAACTCCCCTACATATACACATACCCACACCCCCAACATAGCTTACACCCTCCCACAAAAACAATCACACCCCCTCACAAACCCCACCATCCACTCCATGCCCCACCACATATGCACACCACCCCCCAAACACACTCCACACACACTCCCACACACAATATGCAAGAGTAAAAATTTATTTTTGAGCTATTATGCAGTCACCTCTATATACACTACGGAAACGCACATAAATCAGGAGAAAAATATTTTTTGAAATAAAATTAAAGTATGTTATAGTAGATGTTTGACTTTTAGTATATGATTTGATTTTTTTCTCCAGTTCCAAGATGGCAACCCCTCCTCCTCCCAAAAGGAATAATTCCAGGGGCAAGGGAGGGACATCCAGTGGCAAAGGCCAAAGGATAGGGGCAGAATTTCTGATCCCAAGATGACGACCAGTGGGCAGGGCACCTGCCAAGGGGCATGGCTACCTTTGTGGCTCTGGACAGCTCACCAAAACACATTAAGTGGTTTTTCAGCTAAAATAATTGTCCACCCCTGTTTCAGGAGGATACATCTTGGCTAACTAAGTATTGGATACAAACCAGATTTTTTAAAATGATGTCTAAATAGTTAAATGCTAGTTTTCAGGTGATAGCTATGTGTTTAACAAACCTTGAAAGTATAGGTTGTGTGCTGTTGAGACAATTATAGTTACTATAGGTACAACAGTGCTTTATGTGCTGGAATAAATTATTTGAGCCTACTCCCTTTCAATTGTCTTTCTATGACTGAGACAATGAAGTGCTGTAAGTCTTGATGCTGTAGCTCTGTGTTGAGAGTCAGAGTAAGAATTACTTCTGGGATGCCACATATGTAGAATTCTGCTAGAAACTGCCTGTATTGCAGTTCAGAGTTGGCTGTGCTTAGCCTTTCACTCAGTCTCTCTCACCTCTTCGGACTCTACTTATGGGCATCCCTTTGAACTGACAGGCTTAGCACTTGTTTTTCTCAGCATGGGATCTTGCAATTCATCCTATTTTTTTTTTTTACTCATCATACAGACCATAACCTCTTTATTAACCATCATTGTTTGATCAGCAGGCCTTGGTGGATTCGACATCTGGCAGAGACTGACTTTTTGTAGCTGTGGTCAGCAGGAAAGGGCAGTGACAAAATCTTCAAATAATATAGTACTTATTTATCTATAGGCAAATCTATAGCAATCGGAGAGAAAAGAGCTCAAGTAATCAGAGTCCCATATGAGCACATACAAGTAATCAGAGTCCCATATGAGTAATAAGAGTCCCATATAGTAATAAATAATAGGAGTCCTGTATGAATGCATAAGAGTCCCTCAAGTATTAAGAGGCCTATATGAATGCATACAATCTTAAGTAAAGCTCACTATTTCACTTACTACATAAGTAGGTACAACTAATCTGAGGTACCTCAATATACTAGTCTCAAGACTCTGTCTGCCATGCTGGAGAACCTCTCTCTCCCCTCTCTTCTACATCATTTCTAGATACTTTTTTTAAGTTTCCTTGGTGAAGGGCCCAAACACTATCCTAGCTAGTGGAATCATTCCTAACCTGGACAGAGAAAATTTCACCCCTATATTGTCAGCTAAGCACAGGTGACTGCTGTTTAAAGCCATTGACTTTGGTTCCTTCCAACAGCCAAAATCACCTATGACTGAATTCAATCTTAGTCATAGTTTCTAGGGTCGGAAGGGACCTGAGTAGATCATCTAGTCCGACCCCCTGCCATGGCAGGAAAGAGTACTGGGGCCAAACGACCCCAGCAAAGTGTACATCTAGCCTCCTCTTAAAGACCCCCAGGGTAGGAGCCTTTATCAAACAACAGCATAACCTTTGAACCATCAGGGGCATACTTGATTTGTATAACCTGAGGGAAGGACATTTCATGCTCAGAAGCTTGTTCAACAGCTCTTCCAACTCTACAATTAGTCCAATAAAAGATATTGCAAAAAAACTTTCTTCTTGACATAAATAAATGTAAATATCTCCCTAAAATCTTCTTCTGCCAGTGTTTGGACTGGTGGATAAAATATCTTGTAATAGATTGTAGGCCTGTGCGAGTAGGCAGCTATTCAATCCGGCTTCAGATCTGGCCACTTCAGATGCCAGGGATCTGATCTGGAGCTCTGGACTGGGTTCCCGCTTTGATCTGGCTGAAGCGGCTCCTAAGCTTTGGAGCCACCTTGGAGATCTGGCCATAGGGTATAATGGGGAATCAATGAAATATTTATAACTTTGTTGTTGTTTGTCTTATTTAGATGAAACTCACAGAAGTGGTATCCTCTGTGGAGAGCACGAAGCCTGCCAAGTTTCAAGAAGATCAGTGCAGGGGTTTGGAGGGAACTGTACCCCAAATTCTTGAAAGCAAAACTCATGTCATGTGTATGTGTTACACCACAGGGGGATGAAAACTGCAGAGGTGGTGGCCCCTCCTCAGGCAGCAAAGCCTGCCAAGTTTCAAGCAGATAAATGCAGGGGTTTGGGGGAAACTGCACCTCAAGCTGCGGACAAGCAGAACTTGTGACATGGGTGACACTGTGTGTGTTAAGGCACTGCAGGGATGGTAGCCCCTGCTGGGGCCACGAAGCCTGCCAACTGTCAAGGAGATCAGTGCAGGGGTTCTGGGGCCCTGCACCTCTAGCTGCTGACGGGCAAAACTCGTGACATGGGTACTTGTGCAGTTGGGGGTGGGGGGGGACTATTGCTGGCCTGGCTGTTAAGCTACTGTGTTACCAGTTACCAATTAATCATGATTCACTCAGGGACCAACTCAATACACAGTACCTAGCTACCATATAATGAGTTAACGAGCATGGATTAACACCTACAAAACCACAGACTAAGGAGAGGAAATAATCAATATAGACAATAAACTGCCCCAAGACAGACAGTCAGTTGCACAAGTACCCATGTTACAAGTTTTGTCTGTCAGCACCTAGGGGTGCAGGGCCCCCAAACCCCCCTGCACCAATCTTCTTGAAACTTGGCAGGCTTCATGTGCTCTGCAGAGGCTACCATCCCAACAACTTTCATCCATATCAGACAAAAAACAACAAAGTTATAGATATTTCATTGATTCCCCATTATACCCTATGGCCAGATCTCCAAAGCTTTTCTGAAGCGCTTTGGAAGCTCTGAACCGCTTTGGAAAGCCTAAAGAAGCCAGCGCTTTGGTTCGGACATGCTGCTTCAAATGCCAAAGCATCTGAAGCTTCTCCAGATCCGAAGCACAGTCCAAAACCTCGCACAGCCCTAATAGGTTGTCTTGGGAGAGAAGAGGCAGTTCCAAGGGGAAGGAAAACTTATTTTCCTTTAAACAACTCTGCTGTGATACCTACAAAGCACTTGCTAATAGTGGGGCATACTGTGAGCTCTGACTGCTGCTTAGCATACTTAAGTAGTATTGCTTTATTGTTACATCACTTCCTACCTATCCTTCTACTTTTATGTTCTCTGTGCCAGATATTTCCCACTGTATGGTAAGACTGGGAGATTTCTGGGGCTGGAATATTTTCTGTCGTTACATGTGTGCACAGTTATTAGCAAAATGATTTCTGACTTGGCTGCCTAGGTAGGACTTTTTTGACTGGATACCTTTTTCCATTGGATTGCTGGATATTCTAGAGTGGTTCTCTCTTTTTTTCCCTCGTGTGTTGTTTGCTTTTTTGTTTGGTGGGCTTTGCAATAAAAATAAGAAGGCAGTATTTGGAAGGTTCTGGTTTTGTCCCAGTGAGGAACAAATCAAAATATCAAAACTTTAATTTGATTTGATTTTATTTGCAAACTGGAATTACTGCTTTTCCAGCTAACTCCAATGCTTAGCTGCTATTGCAATACAAATAATAGCTCATAATGAATACATACATTTTATGTGCTGAAGTCCAAGAAGTCAATCCACTTAAGATTTTTTTTTGCTGCTTACAAATATTTCTAAACAATGCAGAAGCCCTGTTCACAGGGGAGGCTTAGTCTTTTCTGCTTTGTTAACATAAATATTACAAGTAGGCCTGCTGTTGTGTTGTGTTGTGTTGCATTGTTTTTTCCTCCTATCAACAATAGTGACAGTGGTTCTTTTCTGCTTCACAAAAATACTAATTATGGATGCAGATTTGTTTTTCTTATTTGTTTTCTATCATAACAATGTTGATAAGCTCCTTACCCAGAGACTATGAAATCATGATTGATTATATTTTAAACAAATATGCATTCAAAAAAAACATTGAAAAATTGTCAGGTTTCTAAGAGGAAAAAAGAGTCTTTTTGAAATCTCTCCACGTTGAAAATGATTTTATTTCCTCCTCATAGTTAGCTTTAACACTGAAAATATCATGTTGGGTTTTTATTTTAATTGAAAATAGATCTTAAAATATAACATCTTCTGGGCAGGGGCCATAGTTTATAGTTACTTATAATTATTTATAGTAGGGAGTAAAAAGAAGGCACTGGGTAGCGTGGGGCCCCTGCAGGACACACTTGGAAATCTGGTGGTCGCACCAGACGACAAAGCTGACCTCTTTAACAAGCTCTTTGCCTCCATTTTTCTGAGCAGGGACCAGGACATCCCCTACACTGGGATCCCAGACGGACCCAGGAGAGGCGCAGCCAGGCCCAGGGTCAGTGAGGACCTAGTCAGGGAAATTCTGGTGGGACTGGACATGTTCAAATCAGCAGGTCCAGATGATCTCTACCCCATGGTGCTGAGGGAATTGGCAGAGGTTATTGCGGGACCCCTGGCACAGCTTTATGAGCACTCGTGGTGCTCTGGCAAGGTGCTGGAGGACTGGAAAAGGGCCAATGTGGTCCCCATTTTCAAAAAAAAGAGGAAGGAGGACCCAGGAAACTATAGGCCTGTTAGTCTTACCTTGGTCCTGGGGAAGCTCTTTGAGAAAATTATCCAGGAGCACATCTGCGAGGGACCAGCAGGGGAGATTATGCTTAGGGGCAACCAACATGGGTTCA